TTTTGTTAAATAAATTAATTTTGTTAGTGGCTTTACCATTTGGAGACATTCGAAAAGCACACTTTACTGAAAATTTGACCAAAACAAATGTTTGTGTTTCCGAGCTGGAATTTGGTGACAATGTGCGAATTGCAATTCAGATTTGACACATTTTTTACTTTGGCACTTTTTCAGAAACATCGTATACAGTGAGTTTTTAGGAAAATCAGAGGTGGCTGCATCATTTGGAGACGCACTGTATAACGCGCTAATGTCTGTATGTGTATGTGTGTGTGTGTTGTGTGTGTGTGTGTGTGTGTCCGTGTGTGTCTGTGTCTGTGTCTGTGTGTCTGCGTGTGTGTGTCTGTGTGTGTGGGTCAGTGTATGTGTATGTGTCTGTGTGTATGGCTGTGTGTGTGTCTCTGTGTGTGTGTTTCTGTGTGTGTGTCCGTGTGTGTGTCCGTGTGTGTGTCTATGTGTGTCTGTGTGTCTGGGTGTGTGTCTGTGTGTGTGTCTCTGTCTAGGTGTGTCTGTGTGTATGTCTCTGTGTGTGTCTGTCTGTGCCTGTGTGTGTGTCTGTGTGTATGTCTCTGTGTGTGTCTGTATGTGTCTCTGTGTGTGTGTGGGTCTCTGTGGGTCAGTGTGTGTGTCTGTGTGTGTGTGGCTGTGTGTGTCTGTGTCTGTGTCTGTGTAAGTGTCTGCGTGTGTGTGTCTGTGTGTGTGTCTGTGTGTGTCTGTCTGTGCCTGTGTGTGTGTCTGTGTGTATGTCTCTGTGTGTGTCTGTATGTGTGTCTGTGTGTATGTCTGTGTGTGTCTCTGTGTGTGTCTGTTTGTCTGGGTGTGTGTGTCTGTGTGTGTCTGTCTGGGTGTGCTGTATGTATGTCTCTCTGTGTGTCTGTGTGTCTGGGTGTGTGTCTGTGTGTGTCTGTGTGCTTTGGGGGAAAGACTGACTTAACGCAACTGGCCAGAGAAGGAGTGGTTGGTGGGCCTCATAAAGACTCGTAATCGGAAGCGATGTCATCGTAGTTCTGTAGGTGTTCGTTTTTGCTGGGTGATTTTTGTAAGATGATGATTTTCTTTAGATGTAATCCTTTTTATCTCTCGAAGTCACAGCCCAGTCTATTTTTCGACCGTTGTTCATCCAGAAGTACCCTGAAATCAAGCGCTTCCTTTCCTGCATCACATCCGCTCTCTCCACTTTGAATTTCGCCAACGCGAACCTAGGTATGGGTGATGAATTACAAGCCCTTTATATAGTGCTTGCTCACCTATGGTTCTACCGCCTCGTCCCTTACTTGCCGGATATCTGTTCGTAGTAAACTGTGAAACGGCACTGAGAACATAACTTACTTGTTTAGTTCGGGGTGCTACTGCTCCTTTATTGTAGACAATTACTCTTCCATAGAGCATTGCCTGGTGAAGAATAAACTCCTACTTCTGCCATGTTCCTTGTTCATGTACTATGCCTAGTGGGATGTCGCCAATAGCCATATAGGTGGCAGGTCCTAACGCGGTGAATCTAAGAAATGCCAGACCCGATTTTCCAACATCATTTCAGCAAGAAGGAATCGCTTTTCTCCACTGGTCCATTTTAAATTTTTACACCCGTATCCCTTTCTGAACTCACCATCTGAACGACTAGAGCGACTTGTGGTGGAAATATGCCCCCTTTCCTGCGCCTCCTTGTGATCAGGTAACGACATTAGCATTAACAAGATCACATTTCCGTGGAGCGAACGAGTTATGTTCTTTCTGCGGTAGCTACACTAATTACTATACTTTTCCACAAAGGCTCAGTTCATCGTATTTGAAAGATTGCTGAACATTGCATGAAAAACCGTCAGTTTGTTGTTTTGCAGTGTTTTTTAAACTGCGTAATAAATGAACTAATAAACTTATGTGCAAAATGATGAAGGCGGACCATTTTCGCTCAACATGAAGTGAAAAAGTAGACAGGGATAGAACACGACAAGAACATAATAGAAGGAGAGAGCGTAGTTGAGAAGAGAAAACAAAGCGCAATAAAAAGAGTCAAGAAGAAAGCATAGAAGAAAACGTGACGAAAGCAAACCCACTTAACGTAGTGAACTAAGCACGCTCAGCTCTCGGCTTGCGTGTGCGCAGCTGTCGTTTTTAACTTATCCTCACTCTAAGCTGAAGAACGAGAATAATAGCTGAAATTCAGTTCAAACCCACAACAGAGGTAGTTACTGTAGGCATGCGGAGTATTAGAGAAAAATGAAATGGTGAAAGGTGAAATGATTCTTGAGAACTGTCGCGGAAAGCCTTTGGCAATAAAGAACATGAACGACCTCATAATTGAACTAAAATCGGAAGGTTTTCTTAACTTTGAACCAGAACGCTTCAATGGCCTACCATGGAGAACACGAAAAATAAAATGTAAAAATCGAGAACTTCCAATTTGTATCACCAGATGTGGAATTCCTTGAGAAGGCATTAAATGCATGGGCAAATATCCTTTCCAGTTGGTGTTCCTGACGTTCCCCACCTTGGCATTTGACATCCTACTATATGTTTCTAACCAGTCGACTCGACCGGCTTACGCCGAGCTCCCCTCCTTCCCGTGTTAAAATGGCCTCCCGCCTGCACCTTTCTCAAATTCGGAGGTTTCGGTAGATGAAACTGGAGCTTTCATTCCCGGTTTAACACAAACACCCAACACAATTCGTGCGCATCCCATCCGCCATGAACAAACCACCTTAGGTTCTGTGTGTTTGAGTAACTCGATTTATTTCCGACTTATTCAACCATGGTTTTGAAATTTCGCTTCAAGTCTAAATTATCTTTTTTTTGCCCACGCCTCGTCTCCTGTGAGCGGGGTTAAGTCCTATCGCCCGACATAGGCGCTCCCGTCCTGCCGCTTGTATTTCTACCGGATGTGGGCGCTTTAGGATCAAGTTTAAATTTTTCGCACAAACCACGCCTCATGTGGGTGGATTCCCTTCTTGCGACCCACGATAAGTGTTTCTATCCTGCCGCATGAACTTCCATCAAATTTGAGCGCTACAGGTCCACGGGAGCAGGAGCTATGAATTTCCATTCGAATCCCGCCCACTAGCCCACTGTGGGCAGAGTCCGGTCCTGCCGCCCAGGGTGAAAGTTCCCATCGTGCCGACTGCACTCCTACCAAGTTTGAACTTTCTAGGTCCACGGGAACAGAAGTTATGATTTTTTAAAATGTTTTCATAAAGCACTACATTTTTGGAGAACGCCCCGCCCATCGGGTGTGGGTCTCCCTAATTCGATCTAACTTACCAATGCACACCTCTATCCACCTTTACACCCCAATTTTGAAGCCGTCTTGTGACTGAATTTCAAATCATGGTCCTCAGTACAGCTCATTTCGATGCACGCCACTGTATGTCTGTCACGGAATTCCTTAGCTCTTTTAGATCTGCCTGGAGAGACCGGGTCAAGCGTGAGATGGGCGGGTCATGTCTCGAGAAGTAAAAAAACACATCAGCCCGGCGGAGCCCCGCTCACAGTGGGCGGGGCTCCGCCAAGCTGATGTGTGCTACTGTGACTCGACTCGGTCCGCATNAGGCGGGACGTACGCGAAAATGTCTTATTTGGACCTCGGGCGTTCAAATTTGGAACGAGTGCAGACAGCGGATTTAAAGGCACAGTTAATGATAATTTCGGGTAATCCAGGTTATGACGAAAAATGGAAGATAAGATAGAAAATAGTGCGATGAAGGCGAAGGATATGCGTGAATCGGTTTCCAAAGTGAAAAAAGACTTCGAAAAATTGTGGATCTCTTCTTGCCTGCTGCACAATATAGAGGTCAGCTCTTGGTGTAGATGTTCATGGTGGACCATCTCCTCTCCTTCGGGCAGCGTACCACAGGTTCTGAACGCTCTCCATGCACGTGAAACAACGCTTGGAACGATCCGAGCTCCTGAGCTGCACTGTTCATGGTTCGACCTTCGACTTTCCCGACAATCCTTACTCATGTGAAATTGTCAAGATGATGTCTGCGAGACATTATCTGTTGAAGGTTACCACCACAGTACTTCGCAGCTACTCGCAGTTGAAAAAAAATTTTCCTTTCATACCTATCAACTGCTTCGAGTTGTGCCATATTTCGTATTTCGCGCATTATTTGAACTATTCCTTCACGGAGGGACGTCCAGCTTCCTGTTCATAACCGTTATAGGTGCGGCAATATACTCCCACATTTTCATTTATTTCCACCCAGTCCTTAATGTTTTGTGCCACATTATCCATCTCGTCCCTAAGTTTTGCACACCACTGTGTATACTACTTTCACTCGCCTTTTTGATCCACTGAATGTAGTGTAGTTCAGCATGCAGCAGAATCATATTAGAATGCAATTAAATGCAATGCAATTAAATGCAGAACCAGCTGTGAACCACTTGCATACATTGCAACCATCTCGACCATACAGCCCTTTTTACCCTGTTTTTCTTTGTTAGTCTAGTCCAGCCGTTAATCTGACTGTTTCTTCGAAGACGCCGTTTTAACGTTTTCTTTATTATTCATTTCCTTTGTACTATCCTGGAATGCAAGTTACATCAATTGTTGAAAACCGGCTACTCCGAAATTTTCGTGAACCGTGCCTTTAACGCTGTCCTGTATGACGTCCGACCAGTCGTCTGTTCTTGTTCAGCAGGTTACTTCGAGGAACAGACGGTAGACTGTCTTAGCAGTCCGAACGGGTTCAGCTGATACTGTAGGTGGCGGCGATTATGTGCCGGCTCCGAGGCGCTAAAAGACGTTAAAGAGAATTTCGTTTTCAAAGATTCTTGGATCTTACGTACCCATCTCTTACGACTGCAGAGTATTTGGCATATCACTAAAGACGATTAGCGCTGGCTAAAGGTTCTGCTATCCAAGATTGCCATGTGATCATTTACTTTCCCACTTGCGTTTTCGGACTTTAAAAGCGTATGCAGAGGGGGAGGGGGGATCTCTAAGGAATATCGTCAGAATAAAACAGCGCATTAACCTATTGTGATATTGTTAATTTATGGAGTAATCAGTGGCACCTCCTGCTGCATAACCTAATCTGTACTTGTAATCTCAGATCATTTTTTTCACTTTTTACTGGCACATTCTTTAGAATTGTCGGATGGCGACTGGTACTCGTATACAACATGTTCAGCATCAACGAACTGGCTTCCCTGGAGCACCTAGTAGTGCTGCCACCGTGTGCAACGACAGCCTTGAGTCGGTTGAAGATAAAATTTCGCGGCTCATCAGCGAGAACGAGGCGATTGTGCAACCTAACCAGGTGCGTATGTATTTTTGGTATTGGTCCATCTTAAAGGTTTCTCCTTTTTCGCAAAATGAGGACTTCCAAGACCATTCAAAAACTACATCGTGTGTTGTTTGTACGTTAGTAAAGTATTGCAAAGTAGCTGTTTCTTGGTGATTGCGAGGATCGCTTTCTTCGATATAATGCAAGCGTCGAATGTCTTCGCAACAAAAACTCTCCTATACAGACTTCTTCACACTCGTTTTATGCCCTCTATGATGAAATTTCAGAGAAAACACTGGGGCTGCCACGCAAAGGTGGTATTGTCTGGCCCCCCGCGGTTTGTCACAGGGAATTGCCCGCTAAGACGGATGAGTTAAAGGCAAACGCTCGAATGTAGGTGACAGGCCGACCGCGAACACCCCTGTCACATCTAAATGGTCTATTTCGTCCAATGCATCACGGTTTTGTGCTAAGGCATCCCCGGGAGGAGACACTCGCACAGTCTAACGGGTAGAAAAATATGCAAGGGTCTACTGTGCGAAGGCAGCTTTAAAGGCAATTAAGTTGGTCCTTAAGTCCCGCAAGGCGTGGAGAACTCGCGTTACAACTATCGATGAAATGATAGCACATTGATAGGCTCTCGCGAGTTAGTAGATGCGCCGGAGCGTTAACGATTAGATTCTCTTGCAGGAGAACAGATGATCCTGCTGCAAGTCGAGAGGCGTTGGCGGCTTTAGAGTAATTCCTTGCGGAGGTCCCAGTACCATCAACGATGTCAGAGAAATTGTTTCCGAGCGTTTCTGGGACTCAATTGCGGGCGTCGAACGCTTCGAGGAACGCCTAATGAGGGTTGTAGTCGTTTGTGAACACCAACAGTATCATATTTCCTCTACCGACGCTTCACAGACTGCTCTGAATGAATTGAGAGTTCTGATCTTTTCTCGTGGAGAAGACAGCTGAAGTGCCACAACAAACAGTTATTGTTGTCGCAAGTGACCTGAATGGGTACCTTGGTACAGTTGTCAGTTGTTACAAGGGTTTGGAATGCGTCACGTAACGCGGAGGGTGGGCGAATCTTTTAGTTCGCATATTCGCTATTCGGAAACGGGACTCTCATCTTCTACAGTGGCGGAACCAGAACCAAATAGATCCTAATCTTGTCAGGCACCGCGATCAAGAGTCGCGATAGATGTGAAGGTTGGACGGTGTGAGAGGGTCGCCGCGCAGCGTCGGACATTGATTTGCACGCTTATAATTGCGCTACCGAAGAGAAACAAGTTGAAGGGAGTGGGCTTGCGAGAATCCAGTGGTAGCGGTTGAAGGAAAAGAGAGGCGCCGTGATTACTCAAATCCAGCTGCTGTCTGTCGCGAACGTTGAGGAAACTCGGAAACGTGGTACCGAAGCAATAATCTAGGTTGCTCGTTCTGAGCTAGGTTAGGCAAAGCCTGAAGGACGGAAGACGAGGTTGACAGGCAAGCATGGCTGTCGACGGACACCGTCAGAGAAAAGCAAAAAGAAGAGGCTTTACATCATATTTCTTCTAAATACATAACAACACCATAGAAGAAGATACAGAAGATAACAGTGGAGGAACCGGAAATAGCTTTAATGAGGAGATGGCATTTGGCAAGACAACTGGTCCTGATGGTTTGGCAGCTATATGTGGAAATCATGGTGCTCGGATCTGCCAGCATGATCAACAAAATTCTCTAATCAGGTCTTTACAAGAAAGGAGGTGCCCGCGAGTTCGCAGCAGAGTCTCACCATTCCGATATGGAAAAGGTCGGCCCTGCAGAATGCGCGAGCTACCGCCCGACTCGCATGCCTCGCACAATGTGTAGGTTCTGCACGTACTGCAGACGGTCGTACTCGAGACATTTTTCAGCTCTCCAACATTGTTGTTTTGCCTTCTTTTGCAGCATTGCCGATGCAGTATATGTCGCTCATCTCTTTCTATAGAAGCATTGTGAGAAAAGGAAAGCAGTGTATCTTCACAAAAGCATTCAATCCCTCACTGCGTAAAGTTTTATGGTATGCGCAGCGGCAGCACAGTGTACCTGAAGAGCTAACTGAGCGAGTGAACAGACTGCAAGCAGCTGCAAGTACTTCTGCACACAATTTCCCCACTAAGTCAAGGTACACAGAGGCTCTGTGGCTTTCTTTACTACAGTTCTTACTGCAATTCTTGCCGCATGGATGCCACCATACGAAATTCTTTTGTACAATACAAAATTGAGGGTATCCACCATGGAAGTGGGATAGATTTTCGATCGGCGACTGTAGCGGCAGGAGATACTTTGAACTGAAACTTTTGAGCACGCTGTAATAGTGATCTTTACGGAGCCGTGAACTACTCACCATAGGATGGTATCTAGGATCTTTTGCGGCTGATATCCGATCTACATTGATGGATTGGAAGTGACGAAATTGAATGATGTGAAGATAGAAATTTTGGAGCTAGAAGCTTCAAGCAGTACTGAGTAGTTGAAAATCGTAGCGATGAATTTGCTTACCGTGAATGTTAAGAGCTTTCTAGAGGAGAATTCAATCAGTGGGATGAGAAGCTTTATAACGGAGTATTTTCTGCAGCTGATAGCAGTGTCGTTTCTTCTTTTGATGGTGACTATAACGTTAGTTTTATCTGCTAGACTGAAACTAAAATGCATAAGTGCACACGAACCTAAATATAAGACTTCTGTCGACATTGCATTGTTGTATTCTGATGTAATGAGACGAAATTCTGCAGATACTCGTGTTCATTCAGGTAGGATGGTATAGTTGGTATAACAGAGTCTTGACGTATTGTCCACAGTGATCTAAGTGTTGTTCCGTTGCAAAGGCCCTTGGATACGTCTAGATTACGAAGCAACATGACGATACATACTTGTTTCAGTTTGAGCAAGTGCGCAGACATCCCACTTGTCTGTATCTTGTTCAGGCGCTCCACTTGATAATTTAGCACGTCACCTGGGTCTGCATTTTCCACTTCGTCGATGTTCTTGTATGCCCTCACAAGGAAGGTCTTTAAGGCGTGGGACGCTTTTCGAAAACGGTTTCCTGCATGGTATAGGGGCGTGAGCACTGAGTATAGAACCATGGTCCATTTCCGCTAAATGGCCTTCTGAATGCCAAAAAAGAAGTAAAAATGATTTTGTCAGAAATTACCGTTTCAACCCGCTAAAAGGCGCCGGTGGACTGCGCAAAGAAAATAACGGGAACGGTGGCCAAAAAAGGGAGCCACATGTTGAAACATGTTGAAGAGTGCGTGGAGGTTTCATATGCGTTCTCCAGGGTGAGCTGCTAGCAACGACGGATGGCGTGGTGGATAGCGATGTGACTTCGAGTTGGGACGGCTATGCTGGGTTGATGGTTCGGATCCCTGGAGCATTGCCGTTTTTGCATTTTATGTTGCCTTCTCCAGATCGGCTCCATATTGCACCAGGGCCAAAGCAAGTGCCTGACTGGTCATGGTCGTGACCGGAACCAGCGATAATCTCTAGAAGTCGTTAGAATTTGATGTGT